TTTTTTTTTTTTTTTTTTTGTAATGGAAACAAATTTTATCACTAATTGTAAAAAAAAAAACATTTGATGGACAATTTCCATAAAAAACAAAGCCAAACGAACAACAAGAGATCCAAAATTTAAATATTTTTTCCACTTGAAAAATTATACCAATCAAACACAATTAATTGCAATTCTCAATAAAACAATTTTTAGGCAATTTAATTCCCTGGAGTTCATTTTCTTTTCACTCATTTTCCACTTTTACAATCAAACGGATCCTAAGGGTTTGTTTGATTCAAATATGGAATTTGAGTGGAAAGAAAACGAATTGAAGTGAATTGAATTGCCTAAAACTTGTTTTACTAGTAATTTTCAATTAATTGTGTTTGATTTGTATAATTTTCCACCTGAAAAATGTTGAAATTTTCTATCTTTCGGTATTCTTTTGACTTTGTTTTTCAAGAAAATTTTCGGTTAAATTGATAAACTTTCTTACAATTGTGGATATAATTCGTTTGGATTGCCAAAAAAAAAAAAATGGAAATTTTTTTGTGTTCATTTAATTTTGTTTTACATGGAAATTATTAATTAAATGGATAATATTTTTACAATTGAGAATATAATTTGTTTCTATTGCCAAAAAAAAAATATGGAAAACCAAAAACCACCTAAAAGGTGGGAATTGAAATTCAACTAAAACCAAGAAAATGGGTCACGTGATGGCAAATGTAGAAAACCAATTGTTGAGAAAAAAAAGTATCATCAAACATGGTAAAAGTGATAAATGAAATTTCAATTCTATTTTTCATGGAAAAATGGAGCTAAGCGTACTCGTTGAGTTATGAAACATTAGCAGCATGTTTGGCTAGAGTTAAAATTATAAGCAGCTTAAAAGGATCTTTGTTAATCATCAAGGGCATGTTTGGCGCACGGTATTAAGACGGATAAGGATGAATTAATTAATCCTTATCAAATGTTTGATATATTAAGAGTATCTCCAAGAGACTCTCTATTTTTAAAGAGTATATTCTATCATTTGGAGAGTGTCTATAAATTTAGAAAGTTAAAATTTTGAAATACTCCAACAAGCTCTTTATATTTAACACTTAATTTTACTATTCCAAAAAAATAATTATTATTTTTCTTTATCTTTTATTTTAACTATCTTTTCTTTAAATTATTTTATTGTTTTCCTGCATTAAAAATTGAAATATTTTGAATGCATTTAATTATATAGAGTGGGTTTGACTCTCCACTATTTAAATTAAAAACATCTCATGTTTAAAGAGTCTTTTGGAGATGCTCTAAGACTCGAATTCATTCAGAGTGGTTATCTCGTTTAGATAACGAGGTTAGCCAAATAATCAACGTACATTTGGCATGTGATATTGAGCCGAATAGGATGAATTAATTGATCTTTATTCCACTTAGGCTAATTGCGGCAATACAATCCCTTATTTTTATTTGTTTAGCGCAATACAATTCTAATCTTTGATTTTGGTGGAATACCCCCAGATCAACCAAACTTTGCGAAATTTACGATCATGCTGCCCAATTCTGTTAAAATCCTCTATTAAACTATTGTGTGCACTTCAATCCCTTGAAATGTTCAAAAAAATCCCGATTGTCGACCAAGAAATCAAAATCTTTCTTTAATTTTCACGTTGGAGAATCAAGGAGAAGTTATTTATTGATGTTTTGATTGCTGCTGTTGTGGACTTCTTTTGATTCTATTTTTTGTTGTTGATTTTGATTGTTGGTCATATGCCGATTTCGATTACTAGTGACGTAAACTGTTTTTGCTTCTATTTTTTATGTGGTTGATTGCTATGTATTGTTGGTTCTAAAATTGATGATTGTTTGGTTGAAGGGCTGTTGTGTTGGAGTTATGTTAGTTTGTAATTTGATGTAGACTATTGATTCTATTATATTTTTTTGTTGTGGATTGCTAGTGTTCATTTCTATTACTGCTAAATGAAAGTTTTCTACAATATTATATAGGTCAGGGATGAATTCCGCAATGTTTAGAAAGGTTAGGTCGATTTGTGCAAAGTTTTTACAAATGACAGGTTGTGTTCCACAAAAAGTTTCAAGTGCATGGTTGATTTGCTCAAAAGCTTTTAAAGCTAGGGTTGATTTGTGCACAAACGTTTGAACAAAAGACCCGATCTTCTTATTCCTAATACATTATAGTTTTACTAGGTGCAAGTAACGTGCA